TCATAGGTGTGTGCACTGCGATCAATCCGAGCCCTTCCTTTCCAAAACGATGATACCTGAAACAATAAACAACAACCTGTAAGCACGAAGCTTAGTGAGTTTCCCAGAGCATACCATACACACAATCCACATAACACATATCCTGTTAGCTATAAAAGCTACCTGTATCACATAAGCCATGCATACATAAAACCTAGGAAAGCCATGGGCTACCCCACATGGTCTTACTTCCAATGTCATGGGCTACCCCACATGGTCTTTACCTAGGACTGCCATGGGCTACCCCACATGGTCTTACATCCAATTCCATGGGCTACCCCCCCCCCACATGGTCCTTACCTAGGACTGCCATGGGCTACCCCACATGGTCTTACATCCAATGCCATGGGCTCCCCCCGAGGTCTTCCATGCAAGTATCACAAAGATAACTAGCATAAAACGTATCATATAATCACTAGCATATCACTTAGCATAAAGCTAACTACCATACCACATATCTCTACTACAGCTAGTGTACCACATAACGTAAAATGGGCCGGCCTTGGTGCCTTAGACCCATTGGTATGGTGAGCAGACTCACCTCGAATGCAGAAGCTTCCTGAAGAAATCCTTAGCTGCTGCCCCGCCAGCTTCCCGAGCTGCCACTACCAATCAATATACCCAAGTTAACAATTGGGCCCCATACCATAATCATTAATCCACACATGGGGTAGAATGACCATTTTACCCCTGGCCCAATATGACCCACAACTAAGGTCCGAACCCAAAACAAAAGCACAACATTATAATGTCCATAAAACCGTCAATGGCCCAATTTTCCAAATTGGGCCCAAACCTTTCTAATGGACCTTATACTAAAGCTCAATATTCTCCTTAGTCAATAATACTTACCAAATTGGCCCACGAAGGCCCACAACAACCTATTCCAAGAATTGGCCCAAATCGAGGCCCACAAATGTGAAGTCCATTTCTATATTGGGCCACAAGGCCCAATAGGCCCAACTATTCCATTATTGGCCCAAAGATGCATACAGGCCCAACTATCAACAAATCCAGCCCCAAAACCATTAGGGCCCGAAGGTCCGAAGTCCTCAAAGGCCCAAGTCCTCCTGAGAGCGTACGCCCAGCGTACCTCTTCTGTACGCTTAGCGTACTGAGCAAATGGATTGTACGCGCAGCGTACTACGTAGTACGCCCAGCGTACAAGTAGCTCATGCACAACATCCATTAAGTGCTTAATACTTGATCCAACAAGTCCAAATTACAGATCTGAGCTATACTTAACATCTAAACCCATAAAGTCACTGACTTGGTGACTTTGCATGCCCCAAACAAACCCAAACTCCAAAAATGGCATTATACTTCCATAAAAGTGACCCTAACTCAAGCATGAACCCATTAAGATCATCAAGATGGCAACTTTCTGCCTTAGGGACTCAAATAGCATCAAGGGTGGCAACCCCAAGCCCAAAAACGGATTTGGAACCATAAAGCCCCATTCTTGGGACCAAAAAGATCCAAAAACTCAACATAATAGATCTAAGCATTCAATGGTCTAAGTTCAGAGATTTATACCTTCATTAAGCTGAGAATGAGTCCTAAAAGCCAGATCCATAAGCTCCTCCTTGATTCCCATCCTTGCATCAAACTCCAACTTCTTGGAAATGGGTTAAACACCCCAAAAATGGACTCCATAAGCTCAAAATGCCACCATGGATGATATATGTCGATTTCTAATGTTTAGAGGGGTGGAGGCTGAAGATGTTAGGGTTTGGTTATGAGATAAGGGGTTTAAATAGGGTCCAAGACCCTAAAATAGGGTTCTGATCTGACGGGATTACGCCCAGCGTAATTATGGTACGCCCAACGTACTCCAGAGAAGCTTCGCGACCACTCCTGGTCATTACGCCCAGCGTAACCCAAGGTACGCCCAGCGTACTCCCTTTTTCCCTAGTACACCCAGCGTACTCCTTGTGTACGCCCAGCGTACTCGGCTAAGCCTGAAACTACTAAACTTCCGAAAGCCATAACTTCTTCGTTATAAATCCGTTTTCAACGATCCTTATATCCACGGAAAGGTAACGAGAAGCTCTACACATCTATCAAATCATATATCACTTTAGACCTTCCGAACAAAAATCCATTATCCACAAAAGCCCGAACTGACACATCACCGAAATACCCCTAAGCTTCAAAACACAACCCGAACACCCGAAACACTTCTAATACATCACCCGCACCCAAATGGACCTAGATCTTACCTTATCTAGAGCCATACTCCTTATGAAGACCAACCTTCGGCCCACAGCCTCAGACTAGAAGTCAATTCGGAACAGAGCGTTACACAAGCAGTTCTGGGGTGCTGACCTACCCGTGTCAAGCAGTTATGGGGTGCTGACCTACCCATGTCAAGCAGTTATGGGGTGCTGACCTACCTATGTCAAGCAGTTATGGGGTGCTGACCTTCCCATGTCAAGCAATTATGGGGTGTTGACCTACCCATGTCAAGCAGTTCTAGGGTGCTGACCTACCCTCCGGTTTGTCCCAGCCGGCTACGGGGACTATTTCACCCCCTACTACTACCACACGAAACATAGCATAAACATATTGTCAGGCATATCTGGGGTTCCGACCTATCCTTTGGTCTTAACGACCGAACTCGGGGACTACTCCCCTCCTACTACCACTAACACATACAACATATCATGCTAGCACATAAACACATCAGGTAGTAGCAAACCTAGATAATTATCACAAAGACAATCATCTATCAACAGCTCCTACTAGTGGGCCGACATTGTGGCCGTAGACCCACCACTACTCGAAGGTAACTCACCTCAATGTCGTGCAGTCTGAACTGTCCTCGATGCCGGGATCAACTCTGCTCAACTCCTACACATAACACCCTTACTTAATTTACCATTACATACTCTTAACCCTTACAAGGGTTACTCAGGTCAAAGCCAAAGTCAAGGTCAACACCTTGGTCAAAGTCAACACCGGGTCAAAGCCAACGTCTGGTTGACTCGACTCGCCGAGTTGATCCAACAACTCGCTGAGTCCCCAAATCCTTAAAACACTAAAACCTCGATCTTACTCGCCAAGTATTGCACACACTCGTCGAGTTCTCCTTCATACAAAGTCGGGACCTTCTTCATCTGACTCGCCGAGTTCATCCTTGAACTCGTCGAGTCCTCCTTCATGCAAGAAGGAACATTTAGCCCTAGACTCGCCGAGTTCCTTATGAACTCGTCGAGTACATCTTCATATAGTTGGGACTTGCCTTGAACTCGCCGAGTTCTGCTCTTGAACTCACCGAGTTCCATGATTTCCAAGTCCAGATTCACATCTATCTTGTTGAGTCCTCTTCTAGACTCAACCAGTTCGATCAAAGCAGAAAAAGGGGTTAGGAAACCATACACTGACTCGTCGAGTCCCATGAACGACTCGCCGAGTCCCCCAAAGTCCATGTCCATACAGTTGATTTCAGTCGGGTTTAGCACATACAAAACATAGATCTAGCCTCCTAGGGTCCATAATACACGTAAAGTTACAAACTTGACGTTCATGCATGGGGTTTTTTGCTCAAAAGGCTCTAAAATGGGGTTTATATGATGCATGGGACTCCCATGGCCATAAAGTTGGCACCTTTATGCCATGGGAACCCCCAATGGTTCCAGATCTGAAGTAATACCCCTCTATAACCACAAAATCCCGAGAATGGCACTTCTAAGGCTTAAAAAATGTAGAAATGAACCCTAACTAGAGATCTAAGAGACAGATGGTCAAGGTTTCAGCTTTATACCTCAAGTGAGTTGGAAATGTGCCAAAACCTCTGGATCTTCTTGCCTCCTCTTGATCTCTCAAGCTTCCTTCTTCTTCTCTAACTTCAAATACACACAAAAGGCACCAAGAAGCTCAAGAACACTCAATAATTGATTAGGGTTTCAAGTTAGGGCTTTTCTTGACTGGGAGGGACGATGGAGGCTGGGTTGGGACAAGTTAAGGCGTTTAAATAGGGTGCAAACCCTAAATATTAGGGTTTCATCCAGACAGTCCTACTCGCCGAGTCGGGCTCTCCGACTCGTCGAGTAGGTTACTTAAACCCGCGTCCAAGAGTCTAGTTTACTCGACGAGTTGGGCCTCCAACTCGTCGAGTCCCAGTGTAAAATGCAATTACTTTTATTTAAAATACGTATCGGGATCCGGGCGTTACAATATTTTTGCTCACATCAGTTGGATTTTTTTTCTTATACCTATGCAACCTTATAGTGGTTTTCAATGGCCAACATTAGGATGCTAATACAAGGAATTAAAAGCGAGGGAAGTTTGATTTATTTTAGATTTTTTACAAAAATAAAAAATAAAATAAAAAAAAAATAAAAAAAAAAATCAGTTCATAGTAACTTATTTGGTTTCCTGTATTCAGCTCACTCATTTCCAACAAAGTTTAATAATTTGAGTTCATTTTAGTCAAAATGACATTTCTGATATTTCCTTCTTAAAAATGATTACATGCATTCAACAATGTACTTAAAGTTTCCTATCATTTCCTACTTAAAATTTATTTATGTTTGTTTTAGGATTATTAATCGGGTGAATACCACATAATGAAGGGTTAGTTGACTTTTAAAAATTTAATGATTATATTCGTAGAAAAATTGGACGACAATTGCCTTGTTTCAAATCTAAATAATCTGTTAAATAGGTTGTGTATCTCAACATATTTATTGCAGGGCAGGTCTGTAAATTTTAAAAACGGCATAACGGTTATGAAATTCCGTTCGATTTTAATAATTTAAAGGTTTGTTACTATTTTCATTCTTTGAATGTTGATTGGTTTTGTGTTTTTTATTTGATTAGTTGTGATTTCTCTCTATTTTATTCACTTTCAAACCATCAGCAACAACAGTTAAACTCTCTACTGGTGGATTTCTGGGAATCATGAACAGATGACGCCGGAATTATGAACATGTCTCAATTCATGTGGAAACCTAAAGATGCAACAACTCTTGTTCGACAACAACTATGAGAGTGCAAAACTGCTGAAGACCATGCACAAGATGCAAAAGAAATATGAAGCCCTTATTCAAAATCTCAAAAAAAGGTCAAAAACCTCCCCGACGACAAACATCCCTACTTCTAATACGTTTCTATGTTTAATGCATTTTGGTATAAACAATTAAACTAACTTGCCTTTCTAAATATAATGTTGTGCTTCCTATGTAACTCGTATGAACACCCATTCTATATATGTAATATGTTTTCATAAATATTATAATATGTTCTATCGTTTGCTACAGCTTCAAATAAGGAAAAAAAAACACAGCGCCAAAGACGCAACTAATTCTCCTCTAGTTATAATAAATGAATGTAAGTGCCCGTTCATGGCAAACACACCAAAACCAACAAGGACACACCCTATTCACAACAAGTTTCATTGCCATCATTCCTTTATTCGATCCATTTTATAAATACAAATATATCGGATTTATTTTAATAAATCACATGTATAAGATCTATAATTGGTTATAAAAAATGGGTATACATCCATTGTATTAGCATTTCGTAAGCAATTTTATGATTGTTAGACAAATATCATCATAAATGATTGAAAACCGAATTCCGTTTTGTGAGAATGAAGTTCTCCCACTATTCGCTTAAAAGACATGAGGGGTCTAAATGTATTTACGCAGTAGAAGAAGGGTTCAAAGTGATAATATTGACTATCTATTCTCATCTTGGCCCATTTGCCATCCCTAGTTCTACTCCTACCATCGTCTTGATCCAATTTCATTCATCAAGTTGAATCCTTTTTGTCCCCTCCGACAATTTAAATTAAAAAATAATTGAATAAATCTCTGAATTCCTCAATTTCTTGTAGCTTTTTCAAATCTTGACCGTTTGTACAATCTACATGTACTTCACGTATCTTCCACGTCCTTCCCCTCCTCCGAAGCAGATAAAAATTTCTAAGGTACCCCTTCATTTATTTCCCCTTAATTTATGCTTAAATTAATTTATTTTATTATGTTCATGCACATGTTTTCACAATCTTGCCTCTTACCCCATGTTTCTTTATTCTGTTTTTGCCCAGTATTTTAAAAACTGAAAACAAAACCCCCAAACTTTATTTAAAGTTCCTGAATTCTCATCATATTTCTCTCTTTCAAGCGGTTTACGCATCTCAAACCATCAATGTATATGAAATTTTTTGTAAGTTGATTCAGTTTGTTCGTGTATTGTGTTCTTTATCTACTGTTTCTTGTTTCCTTAAGTGGGTGTCGTTTATATTTGACGATTTCCTTGCTTGTTGTGGTTATTATTACAGATATAGTTTGTTACTGTTGCAGAAGGTCTGCCTGTGAGGTTTTGGATCCAATTTGTGGAATTGGGTTCATTTTTTGTTTTGGAAGTTTGATTATCCTCATTTGGTAATGTGCGATGCAAACTGTTTCAAACTTGTGTTCTTGCTCTTGCTTTCTTGAAATTGGGGAAAAAGTTGGGATTGGGGGAGTGTGAATTTGATTGAGGGAAACCCTAATCACTTTGTAATCAAAGTTTTTGTTTTTGAATTTAATTTTGAGATTTTGATTTGGATTTCAATTTAAGGATGCGGGTTTTTGTTCATTGTTGGTTGGAATTATTTCTAGGAAATTTTCCATGGAAATGTTGAGTAAATTCTCCCCAGTTTTTTTAAAAAAATGTCCAATTTAGAATCTTTTTTGGGTCTGATTATTTACAAACCATAATCGAGTATTGTCCAATAAAATTTCACCAACAGGCTGGTGGCAAAAAGTTTCACCCCTTGTTTGTAGTTTACGGGCTATTTCAAAAAAGTTTACAATCTCTTTTATATTTCAAATCAAAAAGTTCAACACAAATTCAAACTTGATATTCTTCAAATACCTTTTTGATAAAAGATTGGATGAAGAGTCGTTTTGTTGAAGGATGAAATTGCTAAAAAAAGTTGTTCTATATTCGTCTAAAATGTAAATCGAAACTTTTAGGGATGAAAGGAGTTATCTAGTTAAGTTCATGTGTTTTGCTAGTTTTATGCTTCATTTGATTCGTTTTTACTTGAAAAATTCGTTGTTTTTTTTTTTTTTGTGTCAAATTTAAGATAGGAGTTTATGCATCAAATAAGAAATTAGTTGGATTTTTTTGCTAATTGTTATATGATGAAGTGTAAAATAATTAAACAATTATGGTTAGATTCCTTCTAAACTTTAAAGTTGACTCTTCACGTGAGATAGAGTACTTTTAAGTATACACGTTTGACAAATATGTTGGGTATTTATTTTGGTTGAACTTCAGGTACTAGATCATGCATCTATCAATATCTTAGCTTATATTAACCAAGGTAAAGTTATCAAAGAAAAAAAAAAAAAAAAAAAAAAAGTCTTGAAACCATGACGTGTAATTATGTTTAGGACATGTGTTTTTTACTTGTTTGAAAATTTTCGTTTGAATCTTTTTGGGGTTGAATATTTGGTAAGGATTCTAAACTCTTGTATCAAAATCTTGACTTTTGTCCATCTTATCCTTTGCTAGGTGGCGTGAATAAAAGCATCAGTTTTCAAAGATTGTAATTCAAGGGGGTTTCATGTTGAATCCCATTTTCAAGAAGTGTCTTAATGGAATATTTTGAGGGTCTGATTTGGAAAATATCGGAATAAGTAATTGCTGATTTAAAAGATTTTAATTAGCCATTAATTTTTGCAAGAGAGGTAAGAAAAATGGGGCACTCTGCAGCGGTTTGGGATTCCAGGTTGGCCCTCGAAAGGACAAAAGACTGGAATGGAATCGAGCAAATCGTGCTTCGGAATCCACAAGGAGCTTCAGCTAGAGTTAGTTACTATTTTATCTTCCATAAATTTTGATTTCTTTATTATAACATCCTCCTTTCATTTCTTCCTATTATAGCAATTTTCACTGCTATAATATTAATTGGATAGATTCTTCAAAGTATAATGTCCTAATAAGAAGTTTTTTGAAAGTCTAATGCTATAATTAGGTAAATAGTTCATAATAAAATGCCTAGATAAGAACATGAAATAGAAAATACAATCTTGTAACAAAAAGAAAAGAAAATAAACAAATAAATGAAAGTAGGTTGCTAATTCATGTCTGTATTTGCATATTTTCATAGGTTAGCTTGCATGGAGGTCAGGTGATTTCATGGCGAAATGAACGAGGTGAAGAACTTTTGTTTACAAGTAGCAAGGTGTGGCCTTTCTTCCCCTTAATTTTCATTTTCTTGTAATTAGTTTTGGGGTTTTTTTTGTGAAACTGATGATGATATATTAGTCTTTACTCTTTAACAATTTTAGGCAATCTTTAAGCCACCAAAGGCAATGCGAGGAGGCATTCCGATTTGTTTTCCTCAGGTATGTTGATAATTTTCGTGCATTATAAATTTATAACCATATGAACAATGGACAAATCAAAGTTGACTTATTCGTTTATTTGTACCTTTTGACATATATATATATATATATATATATATATATATATATATATATAGTTTGGTAATTGTGATTCACTTGAGCAACATGGATTTGCAAGAAACAAACTTTGGACGGTTGATGATGATCCTCCGCCACTTCCCGCCAACGATTCCCATGGCAAATCTTTTGTCGATTTGCTACTCAAACCGTCCGAAGAAGATCTCAAATTTTGGCCACACAGGTTATTTTTGTAATTTCACCTATTACCAATAAACTATACCGTACCCTATTTCAACCATTTTTTACACAGAGTTTACGTATCTTTTCGTTTTATCCCATTAAGTCCTATACGGGTAAAGTGTCTGAATGGGTAATGATGTGTCATGTGTGTATGGATAAAGTGTTGTATACGCAAGAGTTGTTTCTTTTCAAGACCGAATAAACGGGACTAAATGACCATTTTACCCTTCACATTCCAAAAAAGAAATTCACAATATTAATCAATTTTGACGTGAGAGGCAAAAAGGGCAAATAGGAAAAGGATTAGTGTCTTAGTACATTAAGCCATATTTTTTGGCTTAACCCATTAAGTACTTAAGCTGATAAAATATTAATCCCCTTTTTCTGCAGCTTTGAGTTTCGTCTTAGAGTTGGCCTGGGGATGGATGGGAATTTATCGTTAACATCTCGTATTAGGAACGTGAATGGGAAGCCTTTCAGTTTCTCGTTTGCTTACCACTCGTATCTCTCTGTTTCTGACATCAGGTATGTTTTTCTTTTTGGAATTTAATTTTATGAAATCTTGTGTTTTTTATTACTGAAAGCTCACGCTGTTGATTCATTTCATAGTGAAGTGAGGATCGAAGGGCTAGAAACAATGGACTACTTTGACAACCTTTTTAAAAGAGAACGATTTACAGAACAAGGAGATGCTATTACTTTTGAATCCGAGGTAAATCTATCTTTATACTTTCCTAATTCTCAAATCATACATTTTTAATCATGTTTATTTTTTAATGTAACATTGTTTCAGATTGATCGTGTTTATCTTAGTTCTCCAAATTGTGTTGCTGTACTTGATCATGAAAGGAAGCGAACGTATGTGTTGAGGAAGGAAGGGCTACCGGATGTGGGTAAGTTGTTTTTTGTATACTTTTCTTGACTTTTGAGGTCAAACCGACTAATTTTCCAAATAACCAAAGAATCAACGTGAAGTTGAATATGAAACTTTGTTTGTTTGACCTAAAAAAGTCAAATGAAGTAATCTGACATTAAATTGTTGATGTATTTTTCTTGTTTAGTGGTGTGGAATCCATGGGAAAAGAAATCAAAAGCAATGACGGATTTAGGAGACGATGAGTACAAGCAAATGCTATGTGTGGATGGTGCAGCGATAGAAAAGCCGATTACATTGAAGCCTGGAGAAGAATGGACGGGTCGTTTGGAAATTACGGTTGTGCCATCGAGTTTTTGCAGCGAGGATCTCTGATTTTCAGTTGAGGTGCCTCCGCATAAAGATATGATAAAATCTTTTATTTCGGGTTTCTTCTTTTCTTATATGCAAGTAGATTTTAGGTGTTGTTTTATTTAGTGTTTAAGCATATCGTGTAATGTAATATGTGTTGAGGATAATGACATACTATAATCACATCCAAATGTGTTATCTTAACTGGTGTTCTTAGAAGATTTGCAAGTTTAAGTCCGTGTGGCACTAACTATCAACAGTCATATGATTGAGTCAGCTTTTAAGCAGCTAGAAAGCTCGTGATTGAGATACATCAAGAGTATGAATAGGTTGGTGCTATTTCACTCTTTTAAGCAAACTTCTTCATCCTTTGTAAACTAGCTTTTACTTGTGATCCTTAGATTTGGCACAGAGATCCTAGCTGATAGATAAAACAATCAATAAGTACAAATTATTATTAAAGTAAAAAAGTTCAGGGTAAGCAATGACCAGATTTAGTATCCATTGACCATCAATATTATTATTGGATCAATTATTCATAAAAGGACATATTTGGTCACTTAACTATTTTTGGTGTACTGTTGACCCTTAAACTTGTTTTTTTTATTAAAATATACCATTATGACCGGTAATAGAGGGTTTTTCCGATTTCCAGCGTCTTTTCCTGCGAAGCATGGTTTTTCCGGTCATCTTCTCCGGCCAAAATATATTTTTCGGTGAGATGAGTTCTTGACACATTTTTCAGATTTCTTGTTTCTCCTTTTCTCTTTCTTTCTTATCTTCTATAGAGTTCTAAGATCTGGAACATAAACACAAACATATTTTGAGCTTCAGATTTCAAGATTTCTTTTAGATTTCAAAGCTTCATTTCGTTTGTTTAGATTCATATTCGATTTTGAAGAACAAGAACCCACCTGCAATCAATTTCCTTTGGAGAACCAACATGAGGCTTCATTGTTCTTCTCCCACACAAACACGTATATGAAGAACCCATTATTTTTCTGGTTAATGAAGGAAACCATCTATTTTGATTCAATTTTGGGGTTTTCACTAAAAGGAAACTTTGATTTAGGGCTTTTCTGGGTCATACACACACACATGATGAACACGAGAACAAGTTCTAGGTTGGTTTTCCATATTTGAGTTTGTTCTTCGTTTGTTCAGATTCAAGTTTTGATTTTTTTTTTAATTTTTGATTTTATGTTACAGATGCAGCTTCGATTTTTTGATTCATGTATGAGTTTACCCACACGATGAGCACAACTGAACTCAGAAAAAGCTTGAACTTCTGAACTCAGAAAAAGCTTGAACTTCAAAACTTGAAAAACCATTGAAACCCTTCAATTTCAGAACTTGGAAATCTCTTGAAACCTTGGAAATCAGATATGGGTTTCGATATATTGGACTTACGATGCACAAACGATTTTAGAAATGGAGTTGAGTTAAGATGGTGTGTGTGTGTGTGTGTTTTCAAGGAATTTTCAGGTTTGCTCTTCCAAAAAAAGAACTTCGTCGGAAAATTCAAGTTTTGGCCGGAGAAAGTGGCCGGAAAACTCATGTTTGTCAGAAAAGACGACGGAAACCGGCAAAAACCCACTATAGTCGGTCATACTGGTATAATGTATACGTTTCAACAAGTTTAAAGGTTAATAAAACACTAAAAATAATTTAATGACTAAAGTACCTTACCCTCTCAAATCATTATCCATTTAATGTAAAAGTGGATGCCAATGAGAGTTTTAGTAAAAAATAGGACTTTTTGAAGGGTTTTTTTAGTAATAAAAGTGGTGGGACCCAATTTCAAATAGGGTCCATGTAGCCGCTTAAAGGGGCTGCCACAACGAAATCCGTAGGTACAAATTATTTATTAATTCACAGGTGATCTACAACAAATATATACAAAACATAAGCCCATGGACCGAGGACTTTTGGCACTATGGGTGTGTGTATAAATAAATAAACATCACGCAAATTCAAAAATTAGGGTGATATAAACTTACAAACAAAAATGATCCACGTTTCTTTTCTATTCACTACGTGGGCCAAAAACCAACATGACATAAAGGGCCTATATACTACGTGGTCCAAGAAATAACGTTGCCATAAAGAGCATATATTACTTTTTTGGCCAACAAGCAAAGGGCTTATATTATGCATTTAAAACATTTAGCCCGGTATACTGGTATAGTACTACACACTTTTTGCTTCTTAAATGGGATGACAGTCATGTTCTTTTTTAACTAATATTACACGATAATTTTTATATAATACGAAGATGTCGGATTTTGTTTTGTTAATACGAAAATAAACCAACTAAAATATGATAAAAGTAAAAATAAATACATATTAATATTGTGTCAAATTTTTAACACAACGTAACACAATGTCATGTTTTTTACTTGACACTAACATGAATTCGAAATTTAATTTTGTTTTAATTTTATTTTGTATCGTGTATTTTTTATGTCATGTCATGGATTGCCACATCTATTTCAAGAAAGGGCATTATGGCTCAACAACCCCCCACCCCCACCCCCACCCCCGATCCCCACCCACCAACCCACCCATACATACGACATACCCAAAGGTGAGTTATGCCTGAAGATTATATCTTCAACCAATTGCCATATTCTAATGATTAATAAAATGTTGCTAAAGATCGAATACTTGGACCAAGTTAACTATATAACAAAAATGACAAAATTGTTAAAACCATATAATCATGAGATTGTGATATGGTTTTTAATTTCTTGTCATTAATTTTTATCATGTTTCATATGTGTTTTACTATCTTAAATAACATAAATGGTCCATATGGTTTGTGGTAATTTGCATGTTTGGCGAACCACCACCACCTCCTTCGTCTTCTTCAACAAGACTCTCAACCTACACTACCTACATCCTTCAGCTTACCAACAATTAAATATACAATCATTGTTGCACAAAAAAAAATCAAGATGCAATATGCAATGTTGCCACAAAAACAAACTAGATCGATATACATACAAATCTAATAAACTTGCAACTTGAATATAAATCTAATAAACTCATATAGGTATATACAAACCCCACACCCCTACAGCCGAAACAATTCCTCCCCTCCCCCATTGAAAGCTCTGGTGACTCCACTATGTTTAATCCGACTAGGGGTGAGCATGGTGCGGTTCGGTGTGGTTTTTGGATAAAACCGCACCGAAAACCGCAACTTTAGTTTTTTGAAGTTTAGAAACCGCACTGTTCGGTTTGTATGCGGTTCGGTTTTTGGGGTTTTTGATGCGGTTTTTGGGGTTTTTGATACGGTTTTTTGCGGTTCGGTTTTTTTTTTTACGGTTTTTTGTCAGTTTTTTTTATTTGGTTTTGTTTTGCCTTTTTACTAAAAATCAGGTAACTCAACGAGTTACTTTGACTCGGATGAGGAGTGTTAATCATTTCTTAAGAAACTTTATATAGTGATGAATCGGTACCACCACCTATTAATAGGTATGAACTCAAATGACATAACCACTCATCCAACATTCTTCTAATGCTTGAATAGAATACGAATTAAATATAATATTTGTTTCGCATGTACATGAGTTAATATCAACTAATGTATTCATAAAAATGATATTATCATCACTGGTACTCTTCATATTCATATGTTAAAAAATATAATAAACATTATTTGTTATTGTAAATATAATATATATATATATATATATATATATATATATATATATATATATATATATATATATATATATATATATAATCATTCTCTGATAAGATAGATATTTATATTTATAAAAAATTTAATTATCATGAGTTCTTCATTCTTATATATATATATATATATATATATATATATATATATTTATATTCGGTGCGGTTCAGTTTTTTACGGATTTTGCAAGACTAGAGAACCGCACCGCACCAAACATTTTCGGTTTTTGCAAAACTAAAAACCGCACTGTCGGTTGTCATTTCGGTTTCGGTTTATGCGTTTTTTTCGGTTTGCGGTTCAGTTTTTGCTCACCCCCTCAGCCCTCACCTCTCCCATTCTATTTTCCATTTCTGGTGTTCATCATTGCCGCCCCATGAAGAGGAAACCCAGAAAAAGAAAATTCAATTACAGATCCACCATGAAGAAGAAGAAACCTAGAAAAAAGAAAATCATCTCCTCACTTTTTCTTTCTGCGATGTCGACAATGCTTTGACCATCAAATCCAAGAAGTCTCCAATGGTTGTTTTAGAGCCTTGAAAACGGTGGTCGAACAGGAAGGGGTTTTGACAGAAAAGAAAAATGGGTAGAGAGTTCGGATATGAGGTAAAAGGAAGGTCGGTGGCCAAAGACATAAGGGTGGAGACGGAGGATTTGACCAGATATGTACAAATCGAAAAATATATTATCATTTTAAGTCATTTTCCCATAAATTTACCGTATTAACCACAATCTAAAAAATCTATAGGTAAATATCTACGGAATAAAAAGTATATAATATAATTATTGAAATAAAACCATATTCGATTATAAGAGATGGTTTTCCGAAGTCAGTGACAACGACATGCGTAGCTGGGTTGGAGCCTTGCACCCCAAGTTTTCACCTCGTAAACGTCACCATTTGTCTATTAAAACAAGAAAGTAAGATATGTACTAGACATAACAAAATTAGCAAATCTAAAGGGTACAATAACAGACACCTTTTATACAAATCAATAATCAATATATATTATATATTTTAGGTAAATTATATATTTATATTTATAATCAACGTTGGAATAAAAAAATAAAACGTTATTTATAAATAAAAAAGTATGTTATCTTAAACTTGTTATTTAGCAGTTAGCAATATCTTTTATATCAATTTAATCCGTTGAAAATAAAACATGCATGAAACAAGCAGACTCGATTATAAAAAAGAAATAATCAAAATGCTTACTACTATCAAATAGGATTACTTTTATAAATGTAAAGTGTTATGTAAATTAATTATTAGAAATGTCAAAATATAAATACGAAAACAAATACGATATGACAAAAAATAAGTTACATCACTTTGAAAGGGTTATTGTGTAACCAACGTGTATTATCGTTCATTTATATATACAAATATAATAAAAATAAATATAATATTTTCCTATCTTAAATTCAAATATTTGATGTTGTATAAAAATATAAGTTATTTATACCACAATAAAGTTATTTTGACATAAAAATATCACGGTTATTA